CCCCCAAGCCCTGGCCCTCCAACCCCGCCCTCCACAGACCGACCTGTATCCAGCTGCCGGGGTGGTCCCACCCCTGCCTGGCTACACATGTGCGTGCGCCCTGCCTCCGGTTGCGCTGCCCCCAGCCCCAGGCAGCTCCTAGCGAGCGCAAGCTGGGAAGTGCCGGGAAAAACTTTGAAGCAGAGCTGACCACAATCCCAGGCATTTGATCATATTAAAAACAAAAACCTCTAGGATCAAGATGGGGAGATCTAAAAAGAGGGTGTGTCTAGGAAAACCCAGACATGTCGCTAACATTGTCAGGCTTCCTGCAGGGGAGAGCAGGCCCTTGCCTGGGATTCCTCTGGTCTTCCTGCAGAGGCACTAGGTGCCTTGCATGCCACAGAACTGCCTGCAGCACTCGCCCAAACCAGCTGCGGGCGGGGCGCCATGTATGACATGGATCCTGGCGCAGACGCCACTTGCAGCACATGCCCAGAACAGGTTGTGCCACCTGTTGCATGCTGCGTGTGGTGTCGAGCCCTGGCTGAATGGGGCCATGTGAGTCTGACACCTGTGTTCTGTGCTACTGGTGTCCAGGACTCCCAGTTCGAGTGTGCTTGGCTGCTTGCATAGTTGCACATGGTGGGTGTGAATGTAGTTATTTGGAATGGATTCACTGCGTCCTTGCAATTTATGAAGTGAAAATATAAAGAAGGCAGGGCAGGATGCCTGCCCCTTGGAAACTAACTGGTTCAGAGGGGTGTGAGGTTTCATAGGCAGCATCCTACTTGGTCAGGTGCTGTGCAACTTTATCAGGTGCTATATAAGGAAAAGCTATGGATCTAAATCAGTGATACCCAACCTGCAGTATGAGTGTCACAGGTAGCACAGTCAGCCCCTGTGTGGCACATGGTAGATCAGTGTGGGGCAGGCAACACTGTGGCAAGTATGGCAAGAGAAAGTGATTGGAGCGGCACTTAGGAAGTGTTTGGGACTAATTTGTTGACATGCCTGTGAAAAAGATTGGCCCCCCACTAATCTAAAATAAGTGGTGTGCCATGTGTAAATAGGCAGAATTAAAATGTGAAAAATAACAGCCTAACTTATGGCTAGAGAAAACAATTTATGCAGCTTGATCACAACCTAAAGGGCCAATTTTGTTGTCTTTTCATGGTGGCCCTGCCCCTCACTGCTGATTGGTGGAGAGTCCCCACCCCTTGGTGCTGATTGGCAGAGTGATCCCTGGAGGAGGAGGGACAAGAGGGCAGCCACCATATTGACACCTAACTGTTCTTTGTGCGGCCCTTTTCCTTGGTGCTGATTGGCAGAGGCACAAGTGGCAGCTGCCCTTTGTACAGCCCCACCAGCCAGAATATTCCCCTCCTGAGCAGGCTGCAAGGCTGGGGAACCAGCACTTTATTTCTGTTAAATTTGGGGGTTTTTTGGTTGATTTCCTGGGAAATCGCGGCCAAGGCTATTTTTCACAGCAATTGCTATTTAAGTAGGTCCCTAATTGTGATTTAATACAGGACCAACAGATTTTAAATTGTGTTATAACTTGTTTGGAAAGTGTTTTTCAAACAATTTCCGCGCTGGGCCAAACCAGAGGTCCATGTAACCTAGTGATGTGTCAGCAACAGAGATGTGGGGTTTCCGGAAAATTTTGAGTTGGACAATTTTCCAGAAAATTTTCCAGTGCCCTAAATAGAGCGTGATCTGATTTAGCATGTTTTTTTTACCTGTATTTAGAAAACAAAACTAAAAAAGTACCCCCATGTTAATTTTATGTTCCAGTAGTTGCAAATATTTGAACTGAAATATTTGATTAGGAGCTTATGATCCACGAGCGTTAATTGCTGCTGTGCTCCCTCGATTACCACAGTGGCAAGTCAGTTAATTAACGAAAGCTATAAGGAGTGTGCAGCAGGAGCCATGAGAGCCGGCGAGAGCATACAAGGGGAGAGCCTGCACAGGGAGAGAGCACAGGTTCAAATATTTGCACCGCGAATATTCAAAACCATGAATGGAGAATCTGCGAATGGTGGGTTTCCTGTACACGATAGTATATACTTCCCTTACATTGTTTGTTTAAATTTATGAAAAAAAACAAAGACACTGAAAACTGTTGACACACAAATTTTAGCACACCCAAAGAACTGTGCATGATATGCCTTGGTTGTCCACTCATCTACTTCAACAGAGTTGAACGCTCTTTCACTGAGGTCATTGCAGCACCTCCATTTTCACTGTCACTATCGGTAGAATCACTTGTACTACTACTTAGTTCTATTTCAGAATCGGATTGAGGCAAATCTGATTCAGAACTACTTGAACCACATTTTTTTTCGCTAAGGATCATTTTACCAATGAATCTATGGGCAAGGGCACCTTATCACGTGGCATCTTCTTCACTAATGGTGCTTCTGATTGATTCTCCAAAAGCAAGAGATTTTGAGAAGTAGAAACAAGCTTAGCAATGCATTCATTTGTTAGTCTATTCCTCTTTTTTTGTCTTGATTGAGCTCAAAGCCTTCCAGTTCTATTCAAAGGAAGCTGCTGTTGGTGAAACGCGTAGGATCCTTAGAGCAATCCTGGACAACAGTCAGGAGTTACAGTATCCCTTCCACTACGTAAGAGGAGACCTATTCTCTGCTGCCTGCCAAATTTTGTCTTTCTCCAAAGTTTTTCTTTTGCACAGTATTCGGCAGTGTCTGCTATTTCATCAGTGTTGGGGACATTCTTAGCTACTTGTATTGAGAGCAGTAGATAATTCATCTTCTGATTAAATATTGTCCTCTGTGTTGAGGATCCGAAAGTTTTGCTGTCAGATAAACTAGATGAGAAGAAAACTCAGATCTCTTAGTAAATATTTGTTTTACTACTATTTATTTTTTTGGATGGAAGTGAAGAAGGCAAAAGCTCAGTTAGATTTTCATTCAGTTGTCTGAATATCTCTGGAATATTTGAAAGGCTTGGTGCATTTCCTTCAAGTTTCTTGATAGCCAGTAAAACTGGTAGTAGCAAACTGAATGCTCCTTGAACTCGAACCGAGAACACATTGTTGGGAATCTGCTTCCAAATGTTCACGGGAATGATCTGGGATACTGTGTCATCTATTGAAGCATGCTGCAAACTGTTCTTTGTGTGCAGCAAACTATGTTAGTACTTTGTAGACAAGCCCCATCTAGTTTCGCCTGGCAATGAAAGTGCACTTTCCTTCCCCTGCTTCTCTTTCTGTAATTTCTTCAAAGTCTGATTTTAACAATCATCATGTTGCTATACCTTCACAATCACCTTGCAGTTTGCCAGTATTGTCTTCACTGTATTCACACTTACTGTGTCCTTTGCCAGAAGATTCAACCCATTAGCAAGACAGCCAAATACTGTTAAATGAGGATATTTAGCCTTTAGTATTTGCCACGCAGCTTTTATGTTACTTGCATTGTCAGTTACAAGGGCTTGTGTCTTGGAGGGACCTGCATTTCCAATCTCTTCACTCAGTAATTTGGCTATGCATTCACCTGTATGACAAGAAGATTTTGTAGCAATTGCTTTCAGGAATATTGGTCCAGGTGTTGCTAACATAATGTTCAATAAAGGATTTTCTTGTATATCTATCCATCTATCTGACATCAGAGTCAATGCTTGACCAATCCTTTGAATAACCATTGTTTGAACTCTGTCATGCTCTCCGTCTAAGAGAATGTGACAGTAACTTATGTGATGGGTGAATTAGTTTGTAATGTTCCTTCCAGTATTGATTTTTATCAAATGATGTTCTACCACTTGGTTGTATTAGCTTTCTGTATATGGCTTGTACTCTTTCAGTACAGTTTCTACATGTTGTTAAGTGTTTTGTCATCTTGTTGCACTGTTGGCATAATCCTGCCTGAAATATTTACGTCTACCAACTTCCTGCCTTCCTTCAGTGGTTTGAACTTCACTATAATGATGCCACACACTAGTTTGTTTGTTTTTTTTTCTGATTAGGCATTATAAATGTAATAGCTTTCATAAACATTTAGGGCTGGAAGGGACCTTGCAAGATCGTCGGGTCCAGCCCCCTGCCCAAGGGGCAGGCAGTCAGCAGGGGTCAAATAATCCCAGCAAGATAGGCATCCAGGTGCCTGCACCACCTCTGTGGTGGGGAGTCTATTCCAGGCCCTAGGGATTCGGACAGTAAAGAAGTTTTTCCTTATGTTCAGCCTAAAACAGTCTTCCATGACTGTTTGTAACAGTTGGACCTAGTCTTCCCATGGGGTGCCCTGGTGAACAGACGTTCCCCTAGTTCCTGGTGCGTACCCCTTATATACTTATAGGCTGCCACTAAGTCACCCTTGAGCCTATGTTTTTCCAGGCTGAAGAGTCCCATGTCTCTCAGCCTCTCCTCATAAGGCCTGCTCTCTTGTCCTCTAATCATGCACATGTCTCTCAGGACACTCTCAAGCTTCTCCACATCTTTTCTGAATTGCGGAGCCCAGAACTGGACACAGTATTCCAGCTGTGGTTTCACCAAGGCTGAGTAAAGTGGGAGGATGACTTTCTGGGTCTTGTTTGAGATGCAGCAGTAGATGTAGGCCAGAGTTTTGTTTGCTTTGCAGGCTGTGGCATCACATTTGTGGCTCATGTTCATCTTGTGATCAATCATGACTCCCAAGTCTCTTTCAGATGTGGTGCTCGCTAGCGTAGGGCTGCCGAGCCTATGAGTATGGTGTGGGTTCTTTCTCCCAATGTGGAGTTGTTAGTATGACTGCTTGAAACCAAAAGCACTAAAAAACTAACTATCTTATGAAACGCTTTCAACTTCCCCAACTCAAGAAAAGAAATGAGAGACTGCTCTGTGTGTGTGCTGAACTGGAAGTGAAACAAAAATTTATCGCAGTTTTAGTTTTGGTTTTGCTTTCACTTGCAGTCGGAGATGAAACAAGAATTTTAACTTTGGTTTTGATTTGACCTGCACAGCCGATTAGGTAAACTTGTAACTTGATTTTTAGTTTGGATTATTATTGTCATATTGAATGTAATAGTTTGAATGTTTGCAATAGTTGCCCATTAGCCAATTTAGAAAAAGACAAGATTCATCTTCTTATCTAGGCCATTGTTTTGGCCTACATGCGGAAGGTCCTGACTTTGCTCAAAGTCTTAACTCTTGAATTTTATCTTTAGAGGCCTTTAACAAAGTTAACCTAAAAATGACCCTTAAGCAAACATTACACATTCCAAGAAATCAAACCCTAGGAGCCTTCGAAAAAAGATTGGAAAGAAGGGTCACTGCAGTGGTGTGGAAATTCCCCAAAGTAATTAAATGGTCAACAAAAGAAACTAAACCCAGCAGAAATCTGTCAAGTAAGATCCGAGCCCAAATTTGGAAGTAGTGACAGGTTTGGGTAGGAGGGGCCTAAGACGGCAACTCACTCAATAAAAACTGTAACCTACTGTCCCAATTTGGAGGTAACCTCACTTGCAGAACAACAAAGGAAGAATTGCAAGTGTAGGCCGGATCAGACTGATCACCTGAACCACCCTCTCCTTGAACACGAATCTCTTAGTTCATGCTGAAGCCGCGGAGCACCCGAAAGGGACTGAAGGAAGGGGACTTAGTCCTATCAGTATTGAGGCGAGCCCATTGAACCGTACTACTGAGGCCAACCCATTAAAATTATACTACTGAGGAATGAAAACATATCTAGGTGTTTGGCTTCTCGGAATTCTAGGATTGTAAGTATATTATGAAAATAATAGTATGATTCAAATTTAACTTTGAGTTGTAAGTGTAATTGTTTTTGTAATATTAATTTTTATAGCACTGTTTGGGAAGGAAGTGCATTTGGAGCATTGTTTCTGATATATGTAGTTATTGTGTTCTTAATGTTTGTGGTATTTCTTAAAGCTAAGCAGTGTTATATGTGTAGCAAAGAATTTTAAAATAAAATTGTGTTGTATGAATTAAGAGTGTAATCATTGTGAAATAGTGCAAGTAGCTAAAAATTCCCCCAGCCAGTGCATCAAACGAATCAGTAAGTTTTGTGTGGGATTTTCTCTATTCCATAACCCACTAGAGACAATTATGAGTGTATTTCCCCTCCTATTTACAAATCAATAAAATATGTATGTATTCTCTCTCACACTTCCTATGGATAATCACCTGAAAAACATTAATTACAACTTTGAAACTGCCAAGCTTGCCTAATATTGTATTGGCCTCCATTCATTGTTACTAATGAATTTTATGAAACGGAAAATTTCCCGTGGAAAAATAAAGCACTGGAAAATTTTTCCACCCCACTTCTCTGGTTAAGAATAGTAAGCAGCTGTTACTCTAGTTCAGGAAGTAGAGCAGCATATTGGTTATGGGTGTCAAAGATACAGGTCAGACCAGCCCACAGAGCCCTTTCATCTGACCCACGGTGGGTCAGCAACTAGACCTGCATGTGGCATCCAGGACTGGATCTGGGATGCTTGTTGCGCACACCACCCCCAGCTGGATTGGCTCCATGCACTGGATTTAGTGTGCAGGGCCAGTCTGACCCATGGACCACACTAGTGCTATTCAGCTACTTATCCAGTTTGTAGGACCTGAAAATTTTGACACCACTGCTTTAGAGAAGTATAAGAAACAAGGCATATGTAGTGTGCGGTATGACACCCCGCCTCCCCCTACCCCCCCCTGCATTGTATCCCCTTCCTAGTCACAAGCAGTTACAATTTTAGGAATATCTTCAGTCTAAGGTTATATCTTCATGCTTAATAAATAGCCCAGATGGACTATAAATGTGTCTAATTTCACAATATAAATATACATTATATAAAGAAGGATGCACAGAAAAGATGTTTTGAGAGCTCTGTCTTCCTCCTCTGATGCATGTTTTTTACTGATGATGAAATATAACTTTCTGTTGTTGTTAACCTGTCTAGATAGCATTACTCTAATGTGCCATAGCATCTAGTAATCCTCACAACTCTGTCTGGTGTAGTACAGAGATCATGACCACATGTATTCCTTTTGTGACCCATCAGGACAGTCTTGTAAAATGGTTTGAGATCCAACTTTAAAACTAAAACTAATTATATTACTCCTAGTATTAAATTGTTCCCTATGGAAGGTGAAGTTGAAAATTTATCATCTAACACACTCAAAAAGTCACAGGCTAGAAACTTGGAATTCTTACATGATTTTTCTTTTTGTAAATGTATTGCTTCTGGCATGTGCGCAAGTAATAAATCCAAATTAATTTATCTAAAGAAAATAACACTTTTGCAGCATACTTATGTTTCTGTACTGATAAAACAAAACATTGAAGCACATAATGTTGCTTTAATTCATAGAATCATACAGAAGTAGAGATGAAAAGGACCTCCAGAGGTCATCTAGTCCACAACCCCCGATAGAGGCAGGATGATCCCTATTGAAACTATCTTATACAAATCCATTGTCCAATATATTAGTGAAACTATGCATTCAACCCTGACCCAACCACAAGGCGCAACACTCTAACCTGCTACAGGTAAAGCAGTGGTTCTACAATAGCCAATGACCTGCTGCTACAAGGGATATTTAAAGTGCATTCAAGGGATCCAAGGAAGAGGGCCATGCCCTCCCCACTACACAGGAAAGGCAAATCCTCCACAGTTTGTATAGTCAAATCAAGGGGTAAAATTCCTTTCTGACCCCAAATGTGGTAGTTGGTCTGATTCTGAGGGAAGGCGGCTTCCTTTAGCCAGGAACCTCTGGGTTTTGGTCCCAGGATTGGCACACCACAGTTAAAATCCCAAGGTTTGGCTACAGCCAATCCCCAGTGCTTCTGAAGAATGTTAAAAAAATGAACAAACCCTGATACACATAGCAGGCAGTGAAAAAAGTCTTTCCTAGCCCCATGTGGCAACCAGCAAAGCCTGGAAACATGGGACATGCCCATAGTAGAGAATAGACATCTGGTCATTGCTGACCAATGCTTGTCCAACCTCATCTCAAACATCTCCCATGATGGAGATTCCATGGCTTCCCTAAGCAGGCTGTTCCACTGCCAACTGTTCTAGCAATGAAGAACTTGTTCCTACTGTCCAATCTAAACCTACTTTTCTGCAACTTCAGGTCATTGTATGAGAGCAGCCATTGATATTATTGAAATTGTAAACTGCAGTTTTAGAAGTTTGGAATAGCTCTTTACTTTAGCCTAGAAATAATATTCTCTACTTTCATTTTACTCTTCATTTTAGGTTAAGTGTGCCTGAGAATACACCTTTCACAGCTGTCTTGAAATTTGCTGCAGAAGAGGTAAGTAGTGAATCATGACAGTATCCAAAAAGGTAAATTACAAGTTTTCATATAAATTTTTATTGCATACTTACAAATGGCAGAGTTCGCAGAAAAGCATGCAGAAATATGCAGTCAAATTTGCATGATTAACCACCAGGGATCCTGGTTTTCTCTGATTAAAAGAAAAAACAAATCCCCAATTTTCAGACTAAAAAAGTAACCCAAAATCCACATTTGTCCGTGATTAAAATGAAACACCACTATATACAGATTTATTTTTTTTAATATATCTATATATTAGTGGTGACTTTTTTATGTATCCCTATGTTAGTGGTGTTTCATTTTAATCACAGACAAATGTGGATTTGGGGTTACTTTTTTAACCAAAAAATTGGGGATTATTTTTTATCAGAGAAAACCAGGATCCCTGTTAATCACTTCATTAAAGTTCCACATGCACATGCTTAATCCATATAGTTTTTAAAACCCTTAAACTTAGCAAATTTCACAGTACATATGCCAATTAATATAATAATTTACATTTATATAGCATTCAACATCCCAGCTTTGCAAACCCTTTCCATGCACCTTCCCCCTCTGTTTTAATGGAAATTTGCTACACTTACATTCTTACACATTTGATGCAATGCCCGGATGAACATCTGTCCCCCGCTTCACAGACTAGGCACCTGAGTTGGGGTTCCAGGCAGGCAGCTCCATCCACTTGGGATACAAAGCCCGAAGTCCTCTTCTGAGGACAGGCTCCTAAAATTCTCCTTTAAAAGCAGTGATTAGGACTTGCTCTTTTCTTTTTTAAAACTAAAACACTAGAGAAGGAAGTGAAGGAAAGTAATACTAGTGCACCCTCTGTCTCTATTTATGTGCGCGCCACATTTTGCAGACCAGAATTCAAGAATCATAGGTCAAAAAAAAAAGCAAAGAGGAGACATGACTTGCCTACTGATTATGGCATTTACCAAGAACTCTTGGGTTCTGATACTGGTTCCCACCTTGTTTAACCATAACAGCTGAATGGAAAATGCATAAACAGTAGCAATAATCCTGGGAACAGCAATTGAAACCAAACACTGTCCCATCCTAAGTGAGTACCCTAAACGCTAAACTGCAGAGTCATACTTCTTGTGCTCTCTCTTCCTGACTCTGATTCTTGCGTTCATGGCCATATAGTTGGTATAGTTTCAATTGGCACAAGGGAAAGTGCTATCCATCCTAGAATCTGTGCTTGATTAGATAATCTCAGGCAAAAGATGACACAGAACCCAGGTTTTCCATTTCTTGTGTGACTGCTCTAATCGTTGGGCTACTACAGGGTTTTTCAACCTTTTTTGGTCGGAGTACCCCCGGTGCGCGACAGCAAAACCGGAAGTGCCACTGGCTTCTCTGTGGCGCTGCTGCATACCTCCTGGGGCCTTCCAAAGTACCCCCAGGGGTAGGCATACCCCCAGTTGAAAACCCCTGGGCTACTATATAAATGTAGTGGGTAACTTGGATGTAAAATGTTTGTGCCCATCATTTTTAAAAGTCTGTAAAATAAGAAGTAAATAATGGATTAATGTAAGAGATATCTGGAAAGAAGTAATGATTAAAGTCTAGTTGTGATTTTTTAACAGTAAATAAGACATGATGTAACATGCGTTTTGTGAGGAGTCTGTTATTGCTGGTAGGCTTTATGCATGCTGCTGGATTGATTAAACACTTTTCTGTATTGAATTCCTCTTGGAACTCATGCATCACTTTGCTTAGTTTCTGGATCCTAGAGAAAGCATAGCTGGGAGGTAGGTACTTAGACTTGGGCAGTTTGGGGCATATGGAGAAGCAGAAGTGCAAGCAGCTGGAGAATTGTCAAGCCGAAAAAGAAAGGATGTTGTGAATTCTAGGTGTTTCTAGGGTTAGATGGCCTCCGAGAGAGACAAGAGCTTGGGTTGAGGTTGTATATCAATTTTGGATTTAGGTGCCTAAGTCTGTTTTGAATCTAGTCCACATACCTTTTAGTGTGAGAGAGACTACAGTCATCAAATTTGCAAAATCCAGGATCATTAGTACTCAATACATCATGCTTGTTTCTGTCTGATTCATCTAACCCAGAGGTTCCCAAACTTTTTCGTATTGTGTACTCCCTTCCAGATTTACCAGCTGCTCATGTACCCCTACCAGGATATGTTTTCTATTTTAACCCCTTAAATGCCTATTTGTTATTGTTATTGTTATGAAAATTAAATCCACCATTACACAATTTCTGTTGCATACCCCCCAGAGATGTCTTGCATACTGGTACCCCAGGAGTATACGTACCACAGTTTAAGAACCCCTGATCTAACCCACTGTTGAAAGATTTTCTGTGAGAACTACTATTCTTTTGTTTGGTCATCCTGAATTCATCCTGGAAATAATATGAAACTACTTGAAGGAGAAAGTTTGCTCAAAACTATAGCTTTTTCTTGAATATTATATAGAAAATAATTACATGTTTTCTGTTTTCTTAATATGAATAAGAGGAGGTTAGACCTATGATTAAAATTACTTAAGCATTCAAATAGATACTCAACATGTTCTGTAGCCCCTTGAATAAAGTTGTTATTCTGTTTTAAAGATAAGTTCCCAACAAGTTTGACTTTTTCCTTTTTAAAAGTTCAACTGACATTTTAACAAGGTACTTATTAACTCCTTTTTAAAATAATGAAAAGGAATATAGGATCCTTTAATTTATTCCATGTATGGAAAATGTGTATGCATTACTTTACAAAATGTGGAAAATAAGTATAACAGACAAATAATTCTTTCATCTGGAAAGAAGCAACAATAAAAAAAAAAAAACTAGTGTAGTTTTTTGGTGTGTGTTTGTTTTTTTTTAACAGCAAAGCAGATGTGACTTTTGTTATCATACAACGTCATAATGTACATGTAGCCCCAAGCTACATCTTGCCACATAGTACAATGAGGAAGTGATCTTTCTTTACATGGTTCTTGGGCATTTACACCTGGAATATGAGGCTATAAAGCAATAATTTGTAGGGATTTCAGAGAAGTGTAAAAATGGTATGGGGTGGGGAAGGCAAGAGTTGAGAGTAGGAAAAATGTGTATGAATAGGTAAGTGACAGTTAAGGTGGGTTACAGCTTACAAGTATTTGAAGATATAAGTTCAAGGAGGATAAAGAGTCAGGGTCCACTGGTTAGCATGCCAGCCTTGAATTTGGATGACCTGGCTTCATGTCTTTGCTCTATAACAGTCTTCCATGTAAACTTGGGTAAGTTGCTGTAGGTTTGTTTACATGACTTAGATCTTGGCATTTGCTAAGTGTAATATAACTAAATCTATATCATTCTCTATGTAGTCACAGTCATTCAAGAATAAGAGTGCCTTTTTGAGGTTAGGTTATGGTTATGTCACTTTAGAAAGGAGTTAAACTGAATTGGAAAGGCTGTGCTCATTCTGGAAGAAGATGCAGATGATGCCTTTGTGTGTGTGTGTGCGTGTGTGTGTGCGCGTGCGTGTGCACATGTGTATAGGATAAAGAACATCTATATCATCTTTCCTTATTGGTTGCATATTGATAAAACCAATATCATTAGTAGTTTCTTACTCCTCAGGCATCTGTGAGGCTACACATATAAATGATAGTGAAGTGCTCAGATCTGTGTAAGTAGATGGACAGAAGTGCACAAAAGTGTAAGCACTAATAGGCTAGGGGCAGAAGTTACCCATCATTGGATATAAACTGGTATCACTGGTATCATATGCATAAACTGGTGTAAGTGATCAGAAACTGGTTCAAATCTGTAACACAACAGATGTTCAGTGCACATAAACCTTTTTCAAAATTGCCAGAACCAGTTTAAGATAAACATGAATGGATGCAGTATCAGACTTAACTGATTATGGTTAAATCAGTTTATTGAACTTCTGTCCCAGATCCCCTCCAGATTCAAGTTAACTCACAGTCCCCCAGCATCCCAGAATGCTTTGCACCTCCCCAGCAAACTGCACCCTCCCCACCCCCCTTGTGCACAAGGTGCACAACCTTGTTTACAGTAGAAGGTAAATTTATGTGGTGATTTGCCACTATAAACCTCCTAGAGGAAATGTAGCTTATACTGAAAAAAGAGGGTTTTGTTGATGCAGTTTATCCTGTTTTCTGATTTAAAATAATATATACCATGAAAAAAACACTTTTCCAACATAACTGCATCTGCACTGTGCCCTTTAGTGACATTGCTATAAAGTGTGATTTCCTCCCCCACCCCTCTCAAGCTGCTGTCATACACACATTCTCTCTCTCTCTCGCTCTCTCTCAAATAACAAAGCAATGATAGGTAGGCCAGGGCTTAATCATAGAAACATAGAACTGAAAGGGATCTGTAAGATCATCAAGTCCCGTCCCGTCCCGTCCCTGCGTGGGCAGGAAGTTATTGGGCTCAGATGAGCCCGACAAGGTACCTGTCCAGCCTCGTCTTGAACACCTCCAAGGGGGATGACTGCACCACCTCTGCTGGAAGTGTGTTCCAGATTCTGGTTAGCCTTACAGAGAAGTTTTTTCTTATATCCAACCTGAATTTGCCCTCTATTAGTTTATGCCCATTGGTCCTCGTCCTACCTTGTGGTGCCCTCCTGAATAGTTGCTCTCCTAGTTCTTGATGCTTCCCCCTGACATACTTGTAGGTGGCTAGCAAGTCACCTCTCATAAGGCGTACCCTCCATGCCCTTAACCAAATGGGTTGCCCTTCTTTGTGCCCTCTTCAGCTTATCCACATCCTTTGTTGAAGTGCGGTGCCCAGAACTGGGCACAGTACTCCAGCTGAGGCCTCTTCAACACCAAGTAGAGAGGGAGGAGTACCTCCCTGGATCTATTGGCCACACAGCAGCTGATGCACGGCAGAGTTTTGTTTTCCCTATTGGCAGCCTCATTGCACTGTTGGCTCGTAGTCATCTTCCAGTCAATCGTGACCCCCAGGTCTCATTCAGTGCCAGCCAGTGGACCACCACCCATTGTATATTTGT